AAAATCCGATAAACCACAAAATGGACGAAATATCAGTTGTAGTAGTAGAAGGGAAAAAACGACAGCAGAAGAACAACAGAGTGGACGAAATATTAACTGCGGTAGGCAAGAAAGTCAGACTAGAGGAGATAAAACTACAATAGATATAGCGAAAGATGCTCGGGTGCAGAGTAGAGAAAGAAAACCACCAGAAGCAGCCGAAAACGAAATCCGAAACAGACGACGCTATGAACGCATTAAAAATAAACGGAATACTTGTACTCAAGCCAGAAAGTCGTGCCAGCAATCAATTGAAGACGAAAATCCGAGCGAAGAAGCAGCAGAACAGCAGCCTCAGAACCCACGAGATGAGCCTAATTTGGTACAAACTCAATCAGCCGAGAAAACCATGCCAAAAATCGATAGCAAAGCAGAAGAAGAGAAATCAGAAGCTTCTGAGATGGTAACAAAGCCGCCCAAAGCGAAACAGCAAAGCGAAAAGGAGTGTCAAACCGAATATTGCTGGCAGAAAAAGAGAGGCGTGCCGCTAACAAAATTCTGCGAATTCCACGAAAACGAGTGTGAGACTGCCTATCCGCAGCATTCTGAGCAACGCTGTCGCGAAGTGGATCGCCGACCCAGCACGCAGCAACAAATTTCTCTGCCAACACGATTGCAAGAACAAATGAGGGCAAATCAGAGTTCTTGCGACCCACCACCGTGCTGTTTTCCACAATTCCCTTGTTGCTGTGAGCAGCCCATGGAGGGCTGTGATCCGGAAGGGCGGCCACCATCCGCATACTGTTCTCCACCAGCAACGTCACAAATGCCGTCGAGTTGTTGCCCGCCGCCCATATCGCCACCGCCATACTGTCTTCCAACAACACCGCCTTGTTGTTATGAACCACCGCCATGCTATGGTCAGGAGTGCCCATGTTGCTGTCAACCGATTCGATTTTGTTACGCGGCTCCCTGCAGCTATACGAATCCTGGTTCATCTCCCTGAAGGGGTAGAAAATAACCGTGGATGCGAAAAGTGGATGAGAAGAAAACTGTGGCCTACCCTACTGTGTACCTCTATTATTCTTCTGGAGCTCACTCAAAATCTATATAGTAATTCAAAGTTCAATGCTGTAATCGTCAATAGAATATCATAAAAAATACCCGCCTAAGAGTATGCAGCACCAAAGTCACACGCTCGTAGTGAGTATACAGTGCAAATGTCTTCGCTTTGCGCCTTATTTGGTGGTGCATATTTTTAGGCTGACTTAAAATGTATCCCTGCTTCGTTTGATTGGGTGTTTTTTCCCCCTTTTCAAATTTTGTTGTCCTTTGTAATGTTTTGTTAAAAATAAAAATGTTAAAACATTCATGGCGCATTTACATGGTATGAAGCCATATGAACTGTTGATACGCT